GGTGGTTCCCCGTGACGGGTCCGCGTTCGACGGGGCTGAGGCCCATTTCCCTTCTCCCCTAGGCCTGCGCTGAGGTGGGCAGGGAGCAGGCCCGGGGAGGCCTGCGAGGCACGTTGTTGGGGTTGCGGTTTGTGCCGGGCCTTGGTGAGGGAGGAGGAAGCCGTAGGCCGCCGTCAGGCCCTGGAAGGAGCCTCTCTGGCACTGTCATCTCCGTTCCGGGACGGGCCGAGCTGCTCCCTGGGTCGGCTTGAACAAGGAAGGGGCTTGAACATGCCGAAGCAGGCCCGGGTGGTCTTAAGGGTGCTTGGGGCTGAGCAGGAGCCCAGTCTTGGGAAGCGGCCGGAGAGCCCCAGACGTGCTGCACGCTCCTGTCAAGGGAGATGAGAGTAAAACAGCTGTGATGCTGAAAAGTTGCTGCTTAAAATCAGCGACTGGTGCAACTTAAAATTAAGTTTCTGAATGTGGGAGTGGTGTGGCTTGTAAGGAGCTGGGGCCGATGGGAGGAGGGAAGGTGACAAGGGGAGAAGCCCGGGGGAAGTTGGGTCCGCCTTTGACTCGTGCACGGCTGCTTTTCAGCGTTGCTCAGATGGCTCCTGCGAAGAAAGGTGGCGAGAAGAAGAAGGGACGCTCTGCCATCAATGAGGTGGTAACTAGGGAATATACCATCAACATTCACAAGCGGATCCATGGCGTGTAAGTTCTGGCCTTTTTTTTTAATCAGTGAAATTGACTTTACATAAAGTGACGTCTGGAAATGGGATCGGTAGGGTTTAAACTGCAGAGAACGACAGTCCTACCGGCACCAAGGCTGATGTGTGATGTTTTAGTCCCTTGTGCTACAGTTGTGTCCGAGGAAGCAGCTTTGTCTGTGCAGACTTACACTTGCAGGTGACTTTCAGGATAAGTTTGTTTGGTTTTGTTCTGTGAGTGTTGCTGGGCGTAATTTGAAGTTAGAGCTGTTTACATCTGTGCACAGGTCATCTGTCGTTCTTTCCCAACTGAAGTTTAAGATTCAGCCCACTGTTGTTAGTTGTCGAAGTGCAGTGTTGTAATCACGTGATTGGCTCCCTGCGTATCACAGAATTGTGTGAGGTCTAAACTGGGGTATGATTTGAGTTAAATAATACTGTTTGTGTGTAGATGAGAGTGACCTGACAAAATGTTGAACCTCCTACAACCCTGTAGTAGTGAAGTGCTTGAGAGGACTTGCTGAGAAACTGCATCTCCCTCTGATTCTCTCGGGATGTGTATGGCTGCAGCCACGTGGAAGAAAACTACATTGGAATCAGAACAGTTGGTGACATTGCTGTAGTTAATTTAGAACAGGAGAGAAATGAGAGTGGATTATTACAAAACTGGGGGTGAGGATGGGAGGCAGCGGTACTTTTAAATGGCAGTAAGATATTCTGGCCTTTCCTGTTGATTGTTTATGGCTATTCAGTCTAGTCTTGATGATGGTGATGATCCTGCTGTCCTCTTGGGCTTGTCCCCTTCTGTCTTTAGGCATGAAGGACTAGGGGGAAATACTTTTTGTTTGATGCCTGTCTCGCTTGTCTCTCACCCACCCACCCCCATTTCTAGCACTAAATATCAACAGTAGAGTACAAATAATACTAAGTGTAACCCCCTGTGGGGCCTTGGACCTTGTTGACGCTGTAGTCGCATGTCATGTCGCAGTATGGGGTGTAATGACGCATGTCGCAGTTCTGGGTGTAATGACGGCAAAGCCCTCACGGTGCAGCTGTAACTTTTGGTGTAAATGCCCATTCATGTAAAATCTATCTATAATAGGTATGAAACAAGCTATACTTGTAAAATGCCAGTTCTGATGGTGGTCCAGTCGTCATGATGTGGAGAAAGTAACCGTCAAACACCATTTAGCAGAAGCTGTTACTCAGAATAGCATCAGGTTTGTTCTGCTGTTAATTTCAGTAATGAACAGTTCTGTCAAATTGTATTACCATTGTTGCTCCACTCTTTTCATAGGCCTTTCATTTAAAGCACCTGTGAAAGCTCTGATCTCTGCTGCAAGAAGTTTTCATGTCAAACACTTAAGATTTGGGACGTCTTAGAGTTGCAGAATGTTACTGAGTAAACCCAACGTAGCTACGTGTGATTTCTGTTAGGCGTAGACGTTGGGGTTAGCAGCTACCTGCCAGAGTAAAGGTCTGGTCATGCTGTGACACAGCTGTTGGACTGCCGTGGAACACAGTTCTTTTGGCTGAATGTTTAGAGAGCGTCAGTGGTTGAGTGCTGCAACAAGTGTCCAGTGCTGAAAGTTTCCTGCAGTTAAAGTAATTACTCCTGTGTTTGTCCTAGGGGCTTCAAGAAACGAGCACCGCGTGCTCTCAAAGAAATCCGTAAATTTGCGATGAAGGAAATGGGTACTCCTGACGTTCGCATTGACACCAGATTGAACAAAGCAGTCTGGGCTAAGGGAATAAGGTAGGTTGCTGCAACTTTCCTTATTGGGCGAGGAAGAGGCTTTTAACTGTGTATGTGGAGGGGGTAGAAAAATTTATCTCTGTCTCACAGTATTTGCATTTCCTTTGCAAAGGCTTCCTTTCTTACAACGGGCATGCCAGGCTCATCTTCCTGTCCCCTCCACGTTCTGCTCAGCTCCGTCGGTGTACTTGTAGCTAAACTTGGGCAAACTTTGGAATGGAAAGAATGCAAAGGAAAGAAGGAATGCCAGGGAGGGAGCAGGGAGATTTGATGTATTGTAATACTGTGGTACCCCAATTCCTATTGAGGCAGACAGTTTTTAGAAACACGGCTTTTTAGTGCTACCTACAGTCCCAGGCTGGGATTTGTGTAATGTGTCTGAACAGGATTAGGTTTCAAAGCATGCTAAATTGATAAATGCTGCATAAAGAAATAATGAGGTGGGTTTTTAAATAGGGCCATTAGTCTTGTCTTGAAAGTACAGGTAGTTTGGGGGCCAAAAGATTACAGTTTCTGTGAAATCGCTGCTACAGAGGCAGCTGATTCAGCGTTTGACATGTGTGAAGATTGTCCAGGGGGTGTGAGGAGCAGGAACCTCTTAAACCATAACAAAAGGTTAACTGGCAGGTATTCATACCATTAGTGATACACATGAACCCTTGTTTTAAACCATGTCTTCTAAGAACTAGCTCCCTGACTCCAGCCTGTGCTGTGTTTACAGTCCTTTACCCAGTGTTGTCTGTTGAGGCCAACACTTCCTTTAAAAAGAGTGGAAACATGACACTAAGGTACTGAGTGTTTTGGGCCAGGTTTCTCTGTCCTTCCCATTGAGCTGCTCCATCCAGTTCATGTGTAGTGAAGTAGCAGTTGCACCAGGTGACAGCACAGCTTCAGAGTGAGGCTCCTAGTCAGGACTTCCACAGAAGTGCGTTCTGTGGAGCCAGGAGTCGTCACATCTGTTCAGCTGCCGTTTTCCCTGGTCAGAAAAGATAGCGTGTGCAAAATAAAGTAACTTCCTCTGGAAGGATCGATAGGAGAGGCTAAAATCACCTTGTTGTTAGTGCTGTACTGATATAAGTGAAGTAGTGAAAAATGCTCTTGGCTTGTTTCAAGAAGGGAGTACATCAAAGCAAATTTCTCTGTCTTTAATTACTGCATCCATGTGAATTAGATCTCTGCTCCGAAAATGTACAGCAAGGAGGAGGTTCCTCTCATGTTCTATGGAGCAAAGCACTTTGAGCAGGGGTTTCCCAAATCCCTGAGTTCATTTCAGGTGGGAGGATACTTAAAAAAATGGTGTAGACAAATAATGGGCTTCCCTCAGCAGCATGTTTTGGGCAGTATTAGGGGAGGATGCTACGCTATGACTGTCCTATTCTGAATAAAATAATCAGCAATGCAGTTTGTGGTTCTGTGGGCTTTGTGGGGAAGAAATGTTGGTCACTTGCATGCCCATAAAAAAGATCTTGGTTCAGGCCTAATGCTTACTAGCGTTTCCACGTGACTTGTGGTAAACAGGTGGGGCAGTACTCTGAAAGCCCGACAGGGGTGTCGGGCTTTCAGAAGAGGTTGTTGGGGGTGGGTTTTCCTCATTATTTTGTTTGAGTAAGGAAAGTTTGTTGGTAATGGCAGCTTGCTGATCACATCCATAGAACGGTTTGGGTTGGGAGGGACCTTAAAGACCATCCAGTTCCAACCCCCCTGCCATGGGCCGGGACACCTTCCACTAGACCAGGTTGCTCCAAGCTTCATCCAGCCTGGCCTTGAAAACTTCCAGGGATGGGGCATCCACAGCTTCTCTGGGAAACCTGTGCCAGTGCCTCACCACCCTCTCCTTGAAGAATTTCTTCCTGATATCCAATCTAAATCTCCCCACTTCCAGTTTAAACCCGTTACCCCTTGTCCTGTCACTAGAGGCCCTTGTAAAAAGTCGCCCCCAGCTTCCTTGTAGCCCCTTCAGGTGCTGGAAGGTGCTATAAGGTCTCCCCGGAGCCTTCTCTTCTCCAGGCTGAACAAGCCCAACTCTCTCAGCCTGTCCCCATAGCAGAGGTGCTCCAGCCCTCTGAGCATCTTTGTGGCCTCCTCTGGACTCGCTCCAACCAGACTATATCCTTCTGATGTTGAGGGCTCCACAGCTGGACACAGTACTCCAAGTGGGGTCTCACGAGAGCAGAGCAGAGGGGGAGAATCCCCTCCCTCGACCTGCTGGCCACACTTCTCCTGATACAGCCCAGGATACGGTTGGCTTTCTGGGCTGCCAGCGCACACTGCCGGCTCATGTCCAGCTTTTCATCCTCCAGTACCCCAAGTCCTTCTCCTCACGGCTGCACGCCATGCTTCACAGGCATCTTCATAGCATATTTCCTGGATTAGCAGTGGACTGACGGTGCACTTCTGACTTTATGCTCCTACTGGATTATGGATTCATTGTAGTCAAGGCTCAGTTAAATCTTACCTGCTGACTTCAACGAAACCAATCAGAAAACTCATCTAAAGCAGACAGTACCATCTCTTAAGGTACAGGATTGTGCTTCTGTTACGATTCTGAGACAGAACCGACTTGTCACGGCTTTGCACAAATAGGCAGCATTTAAGAATTTGAGGCTGGGGTAGTAACCATAGAGCAGAAAACTTTTCTGTGTTTCGGTACGCATTTTATTGAAAACTCTCCTTTGTTTTAGGAATGTCCCTTACCGTATCCGCGTGCGCTTGTCCAGAAAGCGCAACGAGGATGAAGACTCCCCAAACAAGCTCTACACACTGGTCACCTATGTACCAGTCACAACATTCAAAGGTAAGTTCGCATGCCGACCGCTCGTCCTCCATGCACGGATACCAGAGGGGGGACAGCTCCTCCTGCAGTGCGGAGCTGAGGTGAAAGGCGTGCTGAAGGGGTCAAACTGCTGGCTTAAACTCGCTCTGCTGTGGAGGAGAGGGTTGCTCACTTGCTTGTGAGCATTCAAAAGCATTCACAGAATTTAGTGTAATAATCCTGTACGTTTTGAGAGAATACGGAACACTGGCCATAGTTGTCAGAGGGTAGCCCAGGGTTTGTGTTTTCCTATATAAAGTGCGTCCCCTAATGTCAAAAGCTCAGGCAGTTGAGTCTTTTCTGCTTGTGGTCCCCTGAGAAACATCTTACTCGCAGAACTGATTTGAGACAAAGTTTGTGTTTCAATATTTGGTGAACTAGGTGCCTATGTAAGTTTGCTCTCCCAGGAGCAGATGGGCACACTGGCTTTGAAGCCGTAGGTGGGAGTAGACGTACACTGCATGTGCACAGAGAATTGTCCTAGTCATGAGTAGGTGGTGATGCAATTTCTTGTTTTGCAGGACTACAGACAGTCAATGTGGATGAAAATTAAACTGATTTTCGTTACAATAAAAGGATAAAAAGAAATTTTACTCCTAAGTTGGGTTTTTTTCTGTTTACCAGTCTCTTCAGGCTCTCATCCGTGAAGCGTTGAGTTGAACAGGTGACAAAGCATCTTGCTTTCTTCGGGCTTGTACGTAATGCTGTAGTTCTCTCAATTAAAGATATCCTAGGCTTTGTTACATGTGAATGAAACAAGGAGATGTGAACGTTCTTACGTGGGTGGCAGAGTCCCTAGTGCGTTTTGGCTTGTTCCAGTGGGAATAAAGAGCCACTACAGAGGTATTTTCAGTTAAGGCCAAGAAAACAAACCCACAAACCAGCAACCCCTAAACCGGTTAGGTCACCGCTTCGTGTATGTCAGCCCCTGCGGGTAAAGTGAACTCCCTGGCTTTGGTGCCTCACTGGGCTCCCAGGCAGAGCATCAGTCGGCTTCTCCCCAGCGGTGTGTATGCCACGCCAGGGTTCCGAGCAGCGCGTTAACTGTGAGTGCACGAGCTCAGGGAATTTGATTAATGAAGTAGGGAGCGCGGGCCTGACACCTTCCGTGAATCAGTAAATGCTGTCAGCGCAAGTCCGGTACAAAAAGGGTTTATTGAAAAGTGCATGTTTTCACAGACCAACATCAGAAGCACAGTCCATGTACACTGAACGTTTTCAGCAAGACGTACAAATCGGAATACAATCAAATATATTAAAATAGTTTCAATTACCAGCATTGAAACAAGTTTTCAGTATTAGTGCAAAAAAGGCAACCCAAACAAACTGCGGACAGTAGCTGAGAAGTGTTTTTTCCCCTGTTTTACAAAAAAAACCCATAAAGGACAACTGGAGCCATCCCCCGCTCTGCCAGTGTGGATTCACGCTGTAGACAGACATTTCCTTTTACATTCCAAACAAGGACGTAATTAACAAATCGGTGGCACAAGACAAACCTACACGCCCTTTAGCTTTTAAAGCTCTTCAACCGAAAACGACAGAGCGGGTCTCGGCAGCCCACTGTCAGTGGTGAGCCCGCCACGGTGCGCGTGCTTTGGCACGATGACGTCGGTGCGTTTTGGGTCGGCAGCGTCGCCATCACTGCGGGTGGGGTTTGGGATGTTCACCCCGCGACTGGCAGCTGGTTCCGTTCGCTTTGAGGCTGTATTGATTCAGCTTCGCATTCTCGAGCTTCGGCTTCAGTTCTAGGGGTTTTTCAAAGAAGTTAACTAATGACTGTTCCGTCAGGAGGGATGCTAAAATGTGCTCAAAAGAGACCGTCCAGTCCCCTTCAGTCATGGGGGAAGGCTGAGAGTCCTTCTGAGGGGTCTTCACAGTGTCGGTAAAAACGGCATCCTGGTCTGAAGCAGAGGCCTCGGGCTGTACGTCCTCGGGGAACCCATCCGATCCGCTCCCCAGGCTGATGCTTCTCTGCCCGACTTCTCCAATCTGGAGTAACAGCGTGGTCACCGTGGCGATGGCTTGATACAAATCGTTCTCCTCCGGATCTTCGTGGAACATGCTGTACAGGGTTTTGCAGAACTGAATGAACTCCCTCTGCAGAGGAGGAAAAACCGGGAAGTACTTGAACGCAAGGCTGGGAGCCGGGCGAGGGCACGGTACCGCAAAGGGCGCTTACGTGCCCGTTTCTAACGTCTGCCTGCTTCTAAAAACAGTGCTGGCAAAGGGATTCCAACCCCCGCTGATGCTAGGAAACCTTGGTGCTGCAAACAGAAGAGGGCGCCGAGCAGCACCCTGCTGCCTTGGCGAAGGAGATCAAGACCTCCCAGGTGACCGAAGGGCAAGTGAGGTACAAGGTAAGGGATACAGTCCGTTACTGGTGGCTGTTCGTGACTTACAACCACAGTAGCCATCCACAGGCCTGCAAGCAACTTCCTTCTGCTGTTTCTCTCCCACCTCTCTCCAGCTCTTCTCCGAATAAAATGCAGACATCTTCCCTGCACACCCCCTTTCTCTCCTTCCTTCCCTTGCTCACCCATCACAGGTGATCTGCAGGCCAGAGAGGATGTTACCATGTCCTGTGATGAAATTTGTGAGCCCTCGAGTTTCCTACAGTCACAGGATGGCTTACTGGGGGCGGCAGGGACTGCAGGAGGTTCAGCCAAGCGGTGCCTGTGTAAGAGACAGTGCGGCCCTGCTGAGCCGACAGGCTGGGTACATGCCACTCTTCTAAAACTTCATTTAGCAACACCAGCACAGAAGGGACGCTGGGTGTCATCCCACCTTTACATGCCATACTCTGGGGTTACTAATACGGGTCCCTTTTCCCTCCAGCAGGTTTCCTTCTGCCAACAATGTACGTGAGGCTCTCCTGGCCTCAGGGAGCAGATGGTGGGGTGATGAGAGCCTTCAGCTGTCTTACCTCTGTGGCTCCGGTCAGCGTTTGGCTAAGACGGGGTTGATGGACCCGTCCCCCAGCTGGGGATGGACTAAGAAGATACTGGTTTGATGGACAGGTCAGGGAGGACACAACAGCAGCATGCATTCTCGGGAATTCTTTGGGCTTAGGAGGAGGGCTTTTTCCTGCCTACCTGAGACCGTTTTCCAGCCTGTTATGCTGCAGGTGTGGGTGAGACTGGAATTCTTCCTATTCACCAGTGGGTCTGAGGAGAGGGAGGTGCTAGAATGGGTGCTGAGAGTTTTCAAACACCTGCCCCCTGGGCCAGAGAAGCCCAGTCCTCCAGAACTAAAGGACTGAGTCTAAGCTCAGGCTGAAGTTACACTTCCCAGAAAGAGCTAAACTGCTGTATTCAACCGTTTCATTCTCGAGTACTCTCTGCTTCTTTAAAAACAGACCACAGCCTCCGGTGTACGTACCTGGCTCATTTTTGGCAATTCTTTTTCCATTTTAGTATCCTTTTCTTTGGCTAGATCCTTCAGCATCTGCTTCAGCTGCTTCTGGTAATCTACTGCAGCATCACCTTTGTTTGGAGCAGACACAAAAGGGAGAATTCGTTTTCAAGTCACCGGAGCAAACTGACATTACAAAATAAGCCCCAGAGAGCCAAGATAGCAAACGGGAGGTGGGTTATCTCGGATGCACGCGCACTAGAGAACCATTCTGGACACACCATTTGATTTTCCAATGACGAGCGGTCTTGAAGTTGACAGCAAAGGGTTCTTTAATGGTGACTGGCTGTCTCGTTCATTTTCTGTGAGGGCTGTCAAAGAAGTGACAAAGGTAATGATTAATCCTTCGAAAGCTGCACAGTGGTTATTTGTGCTTTTAAAATCTACATATCTGAGGAAAGCCAAATAATTGGGTGAAGATGTTTTAAAACGTGCTTCATTAACTCATCCTGTAAAACTAGGTTAATGTAAGTAAGAGTGGTGCTGCAGTGAGCGAGTCGGAAGTCTGCCAAGAAGGGGCACATTTAATTAAAAACCTTGCACAGAGAAACCATTGCAGAATTCTGTCACCTCATCAGACTGGATCAAGACGTGATAAGGAGATTGCTGCTGCACACGAAGTACGCGCCATCCAAAAACGTTACTTCGGTTCCTGTTTTGTCTAGAAGTAGCCACGTAACTGGCTGCAAAGGATCTCTGAAGGCCGCAGATGCGAGCCTTGACATTGTCTGTCTATAGATTTCACCCAGAAAGGTTTTGGCTGGAGTAAGTTTTAAAACGCGGTGAGCATAGCCACAAATGCACATCCTGTATGCTGCCTGCTGCAGGGTTCTTCGTTAAGCAGCCTTTTCCCAAAAGCTTTAGGCAAGAGATTTTTGGGGAAACTGAGGTATTCAGTCCCTTTCAGATTTCTTACCGGGTCGGATATGTAGCTTGTACAGTAACTTTATCTTTTCATTCATTTCTCCATTATACATAACATCTGCAAGGAGAAAAAAACAAAAGAACAAGAAGGAAGTGGAACAGAGCATTTACTCCCACCGTTTAAAATAAATCAGGCATCTCCCTGTGCACCAAAGATAATTGTTTGCCTGGACAATGCATGAAAACATATGGCCAGTATATTGCATCAGAGTATTTTAAGTTGTGCCTGTCAGTGAGGAACAGCAGGTGACAGCCATCTGGTTTGGTCTTTGTTCCTGCAAAACAGGCCGGGAGTACCTAAACCCTGTGGAGTTTCAGCGTCGTTTAAAAATATTGAGGAGGTTGGCAGGGATCTAGCAAAGGCTGTTTGCTGCCACGGAGTAACAGGAATGTGAGAGGGGAGAGACACAAAACTCCCTCTGGGGCCATCACATTCTTGATATTCCTCCCCTCCTACCCTAACTGCTGTTGCGTAGAATAAGCCCAAAGGAGATAATAATTTCACATGTAATATAATTCATATTCTCAATGACCAGTAGAAGTGAGATTCTAAATTTTCAAATGCACTGAAATACTGTGAAGAACCTTGGTTTGGTGGGGTTTTTTGTTTGTTTTTGTTTGGGTTTTTTTGTGGGGTTTTTTGTTCTTTTTAAATTCTAAGAATTGAAAATCAAAGCATCTCTTAAGAATCGAAATCAAGTAACAACATAATACAAGGTGCCCTGGTTCACAATAAAAGAATTCTGAAAAACTTAAGTGGCAAGAATGCAGATTTACTGATTTCGGCTGAAGCTCTGAATGTTGATTCCTATTTTTTTTCAGCTGGGGTCAGGCAACAGTTGAGGTGTAGCACCTCTTTGGCCAGATTTTGGGACAGGCAGCCTCATCTCATTAGAAGAGCTGGTGGCCTCAAGACCAACCCTGGGGCAGCTCTCGGTCCCTGCTGGCCAGGTTGGTTGGGTTTTTTTTCTGCTTATCGGGAACGTGCAAGGCGAAATTATTCAGTCTTGAAGAAGCAGTCACGAAGACGAATACTGAGATTTCAGGGGTATCCTGAGCACAGCAATCCAGTAGAGAGGATTCCCTAGCATTCCACGCAGGCCCAGATATCATTTAAATTCATTAATTATTTTCAACAAAATCGCTACTGTTTGAGGAATCAATATTTTAATCAAGTCCTTAGGCTGTCTTTTAAATCTAATCGACTTCAGGTGACTGGAACACCAAAAATTAGTAAAGGTCGCTAATTGGGCTAATTACAAGCCCAAGAAACCCATCTGTCCGCATCCTGCCCTGCCGGCTGCATGGCATTTTAACATCCATGTCTCACTCATCCACGTGACTCCCCCCACCGGCTCTGTCCGCCTTCCAGCCCGCAGGGGAGCCGATACCTAGGCAGCTGGCGAACCCCTTGAATTCAATCAGCCGGTCCATGTTCTCGTCCAGGAGGCGGAAGGTCCTCTGGGCAAGGATGTGGGTGTGCTCCCCGCAGGTCCAGGGCGAGAGCAGCCTGTACAGGTTAGCAAACTGCTGGGCGTCGATGCGGTACTGCTCGGCGTAGGGTCGGCTGGGGTCGTGCCGCTCCACGACGGGGCTCGTCGTCTCCCAGTAACACCTTATTAAATGCTCCCTCTAGGAGAAATCAGGGGAAGGAGGAGAGGGGGTTGCAGCGTGCAGGAACAGAATGCAACCAGCAGAAAAAGGCATTTGAACCCAAACTGCCTCTGCGCGAGGTGTTCTAACGATGCCAAGACCATCCTTGTGAGAAAAAGCCAAGTACGAATCTGTAATTAGAGCAGCCAAGCGCTCTCATGACTTCCAATGGATAATTAATAAATTTGAAGGGAGACTGGGCAGATTCTTTGAAGAAATACACTGCAGGCTACTAAAACTTTACCATATCTGGCCCGGGATATCTCTAACCAGCCAAAGGTACAGAGGGTCGAAGGAAATCCAGGGTAAGCATTCTACAGCCTTCCCCTGCTCATTTATTCCCTCTCAGACCTCTCCATTTGGATACCCTACCTGTTAGTCTTCCCTTAGGGACAGGCTGATGCAAAACAAAGTCCTAACAACGAGCTGTCCTGGGGGAGCAAGAGAACTAAGTAAAAAGGAACCACCACTAAGAGAGCACGTGAGGAAAGGGGAGGAGTGCAAGGCAGCTGAAGCTCAAAACCAGAGCAGCATGGAGTGGGAGGGCAGCACTGACGAGCAAACCCCAGCAGCATCGTCTTACTAATGGAGGGAGGATACGGCTGCTCTTAGCCACAAAGCTGTGTAACACTACAAACACACTGCAGCCACATTCCCGGTACCTAGTGTTTATGGCTATGAACAATATGGAAAAGAAAGGGTCCATTAAGGGTAACAATTACATGCTTGGACCCCTAAATCAAGTATAGTTGTATAAACTTAGATGTCCCTACAAGGAAGCTGGGGGGGACATTTTACAAGGGCCTGCAGTGACAGAACAAGGGGTAATGGGTTTAAATTGAAAGTGGGGAGGTTTAGATTGGGCATCAGAAAGAAGTTCTTCCCAGAGAGGGTGGTGAGGCACTGGAACAGGTTGCCCAGAGAAGCTGTGGATGCCCCATCCCTGGAAGTGTTCAAGGCCAGGCTGGATGAGGCTTTGACCAACCTGACCTAGTGGAAGGTGTCCCTGCCCATGGCAGGGGGGGTGGAACTAGATGGTCTTTAAGGTCCCTTCCAACCCAAACCAGTCTGTGATTCTATGATTCCCCATCTCCAAATCACTTTTATAACAGTTCTTTCCAACATCAGCCTGACAGAAAGGAACTGAAGTAGAAACTGCTTTTTAGTTCTAAAGAAAAAAATATTAAAACTATTAGAAATTTGGGAACAAATAGCAAGGACACAAGTTTATGAGGATTTTTTGCCCCATGGAAAACAGTCTGCCTTTGAAGAGCATTAAGAGAGCAGGACTTGAAAGTACTGCAGAGCTGCCAGTGAGCACAGCTATGTGTTTAATTTATTCTGCATGTGAAAGTTACCAGAACCAAATTTCTCACAGACCATTTCCAAGCAGCAAGTTAGAAAGGAAACACTGAAGCCATTCTCCTTGGAAGCATCAGTACATCACTGTTCCTCTTCAATGACAGGGCGGCCACAGCAAGGGCAAAATGACATGATGCCACCCGCCCAGGCAGAGGACATGAGCTCCAAGGAGGCACTGCAAAGCGACAGCTGGCAGTTACGCCCAGAAGCCTCCGATAAGTGCATCCCCTGTTTTTCAGGGAAACCAACCTTGAACAAGTCATACAATTCCTCTAAATCTTCAGGAAGAATTGAAACATCTGGGATGACAACTCGGAGCTTGAAAAGAAAGAAAATCACGTTAGTGACAGCGTTTCCACCCGTCATCACTGAGGCTGGCAGGCCTGCGAGCCCCGCAGGGACTGCATTTACGTGGCCCAGCTGAAAACCGCAGCAGTGACAAATCGTTGCCATTTTTCCCTCTTCTTTAGGTTCACTGGTTGGACAGATCCATGAAGAGAGAAATCCCTCAAGGGCTATTAGAAACAAAGACGGGAAGTCCCTAAGCTACAGGTCACAGGAGGCCGGGGAAGCATCGCACCGCGCTGGCTCTCTTCTCGCACTCTTCCCCGCGCGTCTGCCTAGGGCCGCGGCCAGAGACAAGGCGCTGGGCTGGACGGCCCTGCAGTTGTTCTTAACGTTAAAGCCGCCCTGGAAAATAATGCACGTGGCCACAAATTAAAACCAAACCCATCAGCATCTCAGCAAAGAGCTTTCTTTTCCCAGAGTCAGTAATGATTCTTCCCTTTTCCAAGATCTGGTGATGGCTTTTAAAAAAGGAAAGCTGTCTGCCTCCAGAGAGGAGATGCTGAACTGCCTCGGTGGAAACAATACCCTACTCACCACATTCTGCTTGGTTGTGTCTTCGTGGCTCTGCAGGACACGGATTCGGTGTTTGTAGCGCATGTGCTCTATCTGTGCCACAGAGTGGTCTCCAAATTTCTACAAGGGAGTAACAGTTGTTCATTATTTTTACAGTATTTTCATAGAATCATAGAATCATAGAATGGTTAGGGTTGGAAGGAACCTTAAAGACCATCTAGTTCCAACCCCCCTGCCATGGGCAGGGACACCTTCCACTAGACCAGGTTGCTCAAAGCCTCATCCAGCCTGGCCTTGAAGACATCCAGGGATGGGGCATCCACAACATCCCTGGGCAACCTGTTCCAGTGCCTCACCACCCTCTCTGTGAAGAATTTCTTCCTGACATCTAATCTAAACCTCCCTGACTTCAATTTATACCCATTACCCCTTGTCCTATCAAATTTAGTATTTTAGTATATATATATTCCCAATTTATTGGAAATACACCTTTTAAAGCATTTTGAGTCCTTGAAGAAAAAGCACACGCAGTCTCTAACTGAATCTATACGGCACCTGGCCCAAGGCATTTAAACACTTAGTCAATGGATCTGTAAAGACGTATATTAACTCTCAAAACATCCGCGTTGAATTTAACCTTTTTCTTTCTTTAAAATTCTAACTTGACTGACGGGTAGACACGGAGCGGTATTTTACCTCATAGGAGTCATGAATCAGGTTAGCTATTTCAGTCACCGGAGAGGCTTCCTGGTCATCGCTGAAGAACGCATGGTGATTGCCAATAGGTGGCAGAGGGCTTTCCTCGTTTTTGACATGCTCTAAAAACCTGAAGAGAAGAAATATAAGCAACACAAGTTACTCTGCGCCGTGATTTTCTCAGTATAAATAAGCAAACAAATTTTATAGTTCAGACTTAAGAAATCACAGAATCATAGAACGGTTTGGGTTGGAAGGGACCTTAAAGACCATCCAGTTCCAACCCCCCTGCCATGGGCAGGGACCCCTTCCACTAGACCAGGTTACTCAAAGGCTCGTCCCGCCCGGCCTTGAACACTTCCAGGGATGGGGCCTCCACAGCTTCTCTGGGCAACCTGTTCCAGTGCCTCACCACCCTCTCCTGGAAGAACTTCTTTTTGGGCTGCTAGGTTTTTCTAAAATGCCTTCATGATCACTCATCCGAGGAACGGCAAGCCAGCCAAATGACTAAACGCTGCCCAAGGAAGAAAACTTCTGTCTCCTTGAAGTCTGGCTCAGGAAGCCTCTCACTCTAGGGAAGGCACGAAGAGCAGCAGTAAACATTGCACACTGACGCAGTCGACCCATGTCTTGGCGCTGCCAGGAAATTTCACAGGACATCTACTCCTCTGACACACAAAGCCCATTGTTTAAGGCAGACACTGCGAAAGCAGCAGCAAGGTAACAGGGAGGGTCCCGCTGGTGCCTGCGCAACGCCAGCAGCATCACAACGGCACCCAAATGCCTTTGTTTCAGGGCAGAACGGTCCGCGATGGACTCGGCACTCCTGAGTGGCCGTACCTGCTCAGGATCATCAGGGCCTGCCCATCATCCTTGCTGTTACACAGATCCACGGCGTTGGCTTCCAGTATGGCCAAGCCCAGCTGGAAAATGGCTTTGATCCCATCATAGAAGAAACAGTCCACAACATTCACAGCACTTTCCAGGGGCATGATGCTAAGGAAGAGGGTAAGGAACCACGAAAGAGAGATGGAAGCTAAGGTTGTCAGATCTTTCATGTGTTCGGCCAGCTCCGGAAGTTGCTCTTTTATAAGCTCTTCAAACACCGACTGGTCTACCTGAGCACCTGCAAGTCAAAAAGAAACAGTACTAGACACAGGAAAAAAATACTCTTTAAAGCTGATGATCCCTGGCAACTATCAGCTGCAAGACTTTCTTAAACTGACCAGATACACACACATCTACAATGAAAAATCCCTTTTTATCCCCCTGCTGCGATCTCGGCCCCAGCCCTCATTGTCCATAATCCTCACTGTACAACCTTCTGCAAAAAGACTGCGCTGATTCTCCCAAGTGCCTTTGGGGCACAACGAAATCGTAATAGCAGCAGCTGCTGTTTTCGGCTAAAAGAGCACATAATAATTATGTGCAATCTTAAAGCATTTTACTGTTCAACCTGGGATCTAAGCAATGAAAATAAGACAGTACGCATTCCTCAAGCTCCAGCAAGCGGGCGGTAGAGCTTTCTCTCTAGGTAAGAAAACGTTAAGAGGGAAATTCAGATGTGCCTACACACACACTAAGCGGGAAGAAAAATGTTTACACATAAATATATGCACGTATATAAGTACAGACTTAGGTAGATAAAATTTTTTTAAGAACAGAAGACTTCTGCAATGCCCAGATAAAAGCTTTCCTAACTGTCCCAACCCCTCTTTTCAAAAGCAGCAGATTTAGACTTTGTTCATAGAATCACAGACTGGTTTGGGTTGGAAGGGACCTTAAAGACCATCTAGTTCCAACCCCCCTGCCATGGGCAGGGACACCTTCCACTAGACCAGGTTGCTCAAAGCCTCATCCAGCCTGGCCTGGAACACTTCCAGGGATGGGGCATCCACAGCTTCTCCGGGCAACCTGTTCCAGTGCCTCACCGCCCTCTCTGTGAAGAATTTCTTCCTGATCTCTAATCTAAACCTCCCCACTTTCAATTTAAACCATTACCCCTCCTGTTCCTTCTGTTTTAGCTCCTAGCTCAGACCTGCTTTGTCAGCAGCTATTGTAGGATCAACATAGTTTCATGTTGTTGAAGTGGCCTGTGTCTACAAATCAAATCTGCCACATCAGGAGCTTTAACCAAAGACGCTAGAAGTTAAAGAAGTTCCAAAATATAAAATGCGGTTAGCTTTTCCATTATTTTGTCATTTCTTTCTCATAGTCCATATTCTCCTAATATTAGGAAAATTAATTATTAAATTAATTTTGGGGATAATTATTCCTGAGACATATCCCCTTGGCACTGAAAACTTCTGTTGTCCAAAAGCAGAATATAACCTGGACAGTTTGTGGCAGAGAGCCAGCATCTTTTGGCTTTGTGTCCAAGTCATTAAAAAAACCCAGATACAGTATTTCTCTGTCTTTAGAACTTTCCACATCAAACCACAAAAAGCTTCTGCTGGTGGCTGAACAAACATTACGGCACCACAAATCAAGAATAAGTGCCCAGGGACATGCAAAGAGCCTTTGAGAAGCACATCAAGCATGGTGTTTTGCTTTGAAGAGCTAGCCTTCTCACGTCGGGTGGCCGTAAATAAGAAGGGTAGAGAAAACCGAGAAGAAAGCAGACTGGGCTTACTCAACAGAGGGCAGGTTTTTGTTTGTTCTTTTAAAGAGCTAAATACAAACTATTTAATAGCCATAGACCAAAGAACCAGAGCTGGTTTTAGGGGAATTTGAAGGAAGCCAGCAACAGATAGGCAGACACATAGAAAAAGATCATTCCAGGCTCAGAGGCAGCACGGGAGAGACTAGCAAAAGCAGAGGTTTAAAAGGAATGTGTGATGCTGCCCAGATCTTTTGCAGAAGGCTGTATTACAATTAAGTGTTGACACTCTAGACAAATGTCAAGCAGGTGTATTCAAAGTGACTTTTATGCCCACCTTTTTATTAGGCTCCCAGAAACCCTGACATCTGAGCAACCGAACCTCTAAGGTGTTACAGCACGAACCCGTAACGAGGTAGGAAAATACCAGGGTGTCCATTTAAAAAAACAAGATGACCCCAAGACACAAACCAAATGACATCTTCAAGACTGAAAAGGCAAATGAGAGAAACAAAGTGAGGTTTCCACTGTTTCAGGAATTATAATAGCAAGATGACGACAGTCTTAAGAGATGAAAGTGGGGTAAGATGGCCTGCTGGCTTATGGAGAGGATGGAAAAGTCATGGTAACACGAGAATAGGATATGCATGACCCTTGTCACCACTCGACCCCAGTACAACTTGTTTCTGTCTTGCAGCTATCTGGGTACAATTTCTCCTAAGCACTGCAGAAGGGAGAAGGACAGGAGAGATTTCCTGAAGGAGGAGATATGGAGTGCCAGCCCTGCCTGCAGGCTTTTCTCCTTTGCAAGCAGTGAAACAATGAAAAGGCTTGTGGAAAGACAGGGCCACCATAACTGACAAGGCTGAAGGAGGGAGGTGGTCATGTGATAAAAAGGTTGAGTAGGACTGAATTGCCTGTTTTGAAAGCAAAAATTGTAAATAAAGAATAAAATATTTGTAATGTCATAAAGAAAAGGCCCAAGAGGAGATGGAGCTAAGAAGGCCTGTTATAACCAAGGTCATTAATTCAGTAGCTGTTTTGACTGTAGGGATCACTGACCGACACTGAAGAGGAAAAGCCCAGTGACGGGTACCAAGGTCAGAGATCACAAAAGTTATACAGAGATCAAAATCTGGACAAGAGTGTTGGCAGCGCAGACAAAGAGGAAAAGCTGGATCTTGGAAGAGTTACACAGGAAGAAGCAACACAGAGTTTAGACAAGAGCTAGTTGCAAATCAAAAAAGAAGGCCAAGTGAAATATGAAGCCAAGAACAGTAACTCAAGCAACAGGAACCAGAGGAGACGCAGGGTAGAGAATATCAGTAGCACTGATTTGGCCACGCTAAGGTCTAGGGTAAATCAAAGCTGCAGAAGTAACTGCTCAGTGAAGCAACCATGCTGCAAAACTACACCGCTGCCCTTCGACTAGGGGGAGCAGGGGAAATTCCAAGCTGAAGCCCCCGGCTCTTTGCACTGTGTTGAGTCAGCACAGTACCTCCTCCACAGTCGCAGTAGTCTCTCCTTTGAGTAGAGATGACAGGACAACCAAGACTATCAACACTATAACAGTGTAGGCTGTAGTCTCGGCCAGTGACAGGCAAAATACAAACCCAAAATTAAGTGGTAAGAGCATACCAGGGCAGTGATATGACTGGACACATGGGACCACTCAAGTTTATTTGGGTGTGAAGAATGCTACTTATGGGCAATAACCCAGTAAGCACCAAAGTCATCAGTAACTCAAGGCAGGCCCTAGGCTGATGATACCTGGAAATGACTAGGGCAAACCATTGTTTCTTCTTTGATCAAGGAAGGAGACAGGTGAACGTGGGAGTAAGTCATTGAGATGGCAGTTTAAAGTCACGTTTGGAGACAAGAACTGAAGTTCTGACAAGTGGGACAGTTACAGTGCCCAGTCCACTGGCTGAAAATACCAATGGCATTCAAAGCACCACAGAGTCACAGAATCACAGGATGGTTT